TTAATCACTTACAAAAAAAAGTCTGACTTAAGACTTTTGCACAGTTCTGTATACACAGCACACTATCCATTTCCTCAGTTTTTATTTTTTCTTAAATTAATATTTGTTATTCTACTCTGGTATGAAGGACATTATGGAGGTGGCATGGGAGATGAAAGCTCTTCTTCTGGGGCAGAACTGGAGGCAGGTGAACTGGTTATAGACGATTCATATACGCACTTGTCAAAAAAGAAGAAGAAGAGCAAGAAAAGCAAAAAGAAAAAGGACAAAGAAAAAGACAGAGACAAGGAGAAAAGTGGGAAGGACAAGAAGCACAGCAAAGGATTTAGCGGTGAGTTCACTCAGAAGCATTTTTTTGGAAACACTTTGTCCTGCATTTTTGGTATTGGAATCAAACTGTGGAAACAGAGGCGTCTCTATTGTTTATACATGATCATAAAAACACAGTTTACACTTTTTGGGACCGTCTTTACTAGTTAGCCAGCTAGCCAGACTCATGTCTAGCTGCCAGCAGTTATTGTGGTTTCATGCCAACATTTAATAATTGGTTTCCTTATGGCTGACAAGAGGAAACCTGCTGCATCAGGGTTTCACTTGGAAAATTTAGCTTTAGTCAGCTTCAACTCTCCCCATGGTTTTTGTTAGTTGTTAAAAGTGTCAGCATAACTGTAACCATAACTGTTAACAACATAACACGTGCTGCTTTACTATACTAATACACTTTTCTAATGTTAGGAACCTTAGGAAATGCACTAACATTGATACAGTGATACTTAAATTTGTGTTTTACAGGGTAGTTATACCAAAGTCATGCGCTTTGGTATAACTACCCTGAGTCATGGTATTAATGTGGTGCAATCAGTCTTTCAGAAAACGCAGCTAAATGCAATACACTAAGTTAAAAATAAATTAAACATCAGGGCAACTCCAGAAAACTCAGCATTCTCTAAAAATAGTTTAGGCTGTTTGCTTAAGCAAAGTGTCCAAGAGGACTGGCTAAATATGAACGTTTTTCCACCTCAAGTGAAGGTAACAGTGTATGTCTGTATAAGTCTGTAGTTACTTGAGATACAGTTAGCTTCAGTTTATGCTCCATTTAAAAAAAATAGTAACATACTGTCAGATGTCAAAATCAAATCCACTGTCATTGTGTTGGATAAAAAGACAGAAAAACAAACAAACAGCTGCAAGGCGATAATGAGTTAACTTGGAAAGTATTTCAGTGCTCGACAGCGTGAGGAGGGCAAGTGGAGCCTGAGCTGTTCCTCTCTGGGTGACAGACACATTTCTAGGGCTAGCAAACTAAATGTTTCAGGTGTCTGATATCCTCTGTTTTCATAAAGCATTTTTAAAATCAGCTTCCTATGTTCAGGTTCAGTGTTCACCTCAAGTCAGTGAGGCATAGGTGAGTGATTGCCTCATGAAAGCCCAGTTCAGCATGAAACAAGGATCAGCAGTAACCACACAATGCAACTGTAATAGAATAAACAATGATAAAGATAAAACAAACTACACTGTGCATAGTGTTCAAAATAAAGATAAACATAAAAATGTGATCAACAAAAAAGAATAAACAACTGTGGTAAGAGTATATTGTTGTCATGTCAAGTACATTAAGATAAAAACTGGTGTGTGAAGTTGGCAAACAACATTATGACAAACAGTCTGAGCAGACTGATGAATGGGACCTGACCGGTTTGAATGTCTCATGATGGGATTTGTCTTCTGATTAATGCTGTCAACACAGTGGCTTTTGATGACTAAGGGAAATGGCATTTGAAGGTTTCTGCCAGGAAACTCTGCTTTCGAGGACACCGTCGAGTGTGGGATTTAGCTAGGTTTGAAGCAGAAGCATTTCATTATCCTTTAGTTCTCACCGAGAGCTTTCGCAAATGATATCAAGGAAGGAGGTGGCATTTAGAGGCTGAAGTCTTTAAAAGCTCTTTGTATTGTAAACACAGCTGTAACGTTGGCAGGGGAAAAGCCAGTGATTCTTTTCCTATTCACTGCTGCTACATTTTACAGCACGCTTAAGCTGAAATGAATTGATGTGACTGCTGAAGCTTTATAGCTTAAAATGATGTAGGTTAAACAGCAGCCACCACCTCTTTTTCTAGTAGTGATACCGGCCTGGAGGCATGTTTAACAGGTGGGGTTAGTCATGAGGGCCCTCTCTGAGTTAGTCACTTTAAAGCACTTTGAACTAAGTGTGAACTAAAAACCACTGGGAGGAGAGTGCTATAGGCTCCAGATTCTCAATAACAATATTTCTGATGATACAGAAAAATGCTACTTGTATTCAGCAGCATTTATAAGTTTAAGTAAATAAAGGTTATTTGCCATCCTCCTTTTCCAGTTAGCTACTGCCATTAGTGGCAGTCAGCAGCTGCACAATATTGTTAGTGATTTAAAAAAAAAATCCACCTGGGATGTTGGATCTTGGGTTGAACTTTTTTATCCAGCTGCTTAAAGCCCAGCGTTCCCACCGTCTAACCTAATCAGTAATTTCCTCTTCCTGTCATATGGTGTAAATTTGTTTGCTTTTAGACTGCACAACACCAACTTCTAGTATCTCCTCCTTCATAGTCTGGTTGTACTTGATCGTGTGTTTGTGGTTTCCACTTTTAGCAGGAACCGTTTTCTTGCATATTCTGCAAAGCGTTGTGCTTTGTTTGAGGCTGTTTCAGGTACTAAACCGTCATCAGAGACCAACACAGGATTGTGTCATTGCTTCCATAGAGGAGAAGGGAATTAATGCAGTTATTGGGCAGTTGAATTGATGAGTAGTAATACTGACTCCATCCATAACAATGTTTCACAAAAGGGCCCATTTCTTTTCTGAAGCCAGTGTAATTAACTCTACATCTGCCCATTTATCTTTGTATGACTGTCACCAGACTCATCAAAGAGCCACAGTCACTCCCATCCCACGGTCACTCACAGTGCTGTGGGCCCTATGTATGCCATGGGCACGCCTATCCCTCCGCACCACCACCAAGGCAGCGACGGTACGACAGAGAAGAAGAAGAAGGAGGACAAAGATCGAGACAAGCACGAGAAGGATAAAGATAAGGTGAGATAGTATTTAGTTACATTTCTCGTTCTTTGTAAGGAAATGTTAATGATGTGCTCAATTGTTGTTGTTGTTTTTCTGTCATCAAGCCCAAGAAGAAAAACACAACAGCGTATCAGGTGTTCTGTAAGGAGTACAGGGTCAACATAAATGCAGAACAGCCGGGACTAGGTGAGAAAAACTTTGAAATACAGTATAATTTGTGATGAAGCACTTTAAATCTAACGGTAAGAAAAAAACATATAAACTGAATGGGTTTGCATATAATCTGCAGTGTTTGGCGAACTGAGTAAAAAGTTGGCAGAGGTTTGGAAGGCGATGCCTGAAAAGGACAAGCTGGTAGGTTTTTGTCTTTTGCTATAATCCAGTGTGGCTTACATGCCTTTAAGTGCTGGTGGTGTGCTTCATGTGTGTGTCTTTCTGTAGGTTTGGAGGCAGAAAGCTCAGTATTTGCAGCACAAACAAAACAAAGCTGAAGCCACGACGGTCAAACACAAGACGTCCAGCGAGACCAAAAGCAAAGGTATATTTGACTGTGAGCGCGGTGCTTTTTTTTTTAGTCCACTCACTGTTGGATCTTTGCTGCCGTCTGTAAGTGCCGTTTTCTCTGTAAAGTTGCAGGGACATCAACAGGAGTGGTGTCTCCAACCAGAGCGTCTGGCACCATGTCCCTGTCCCCGGCTCGAGTCCCAGATGTCGATCCCATCGATGCAGCGGCTCACCTGCAGCTGCTGGGAGAGTCTCTGTCCCTAATTGGACATCGGCTCCAGGAAACAGAGGTGAGTTTTAAATGCGCACACATAAAACACACATAAAAGCTTTTATCTAGAAATAAAAGCATAAATGCAAAGTTTTAAATTGAATTCGTTAATGTGCAATGAAACCAGTAAGCCATGTTTTCTCGCACTAGGGGATGGTGGCTGTATCCGGGAGTTTGTCTGTTCTTCTGGACTCTATCTTGTGCGCGCTGGGCCCGCTGACCTGTCTCACAGCACAGATACCACAGTTAAATGGATGTCCTCGAAACGTCCTGGTATCGTACCATCAGCTTCATTCAATTCTTCACAGATTCTGCTGTTAAACGTTTCTGCTTGTTTTTGATAACCGTTCAATGTATAATATGTGGTTTTTATCGCTAACAAAGCTCTTGTCTCCTTCTGTCAGTCAAATACATTGGACAACATCGCCTACATCATGCCTGGACTTTGAGGAAAAGATGACTGGAAATCTGGGGGAAACACTTGACCAGGGAGATCCTTTGGACTTTAATTTAAGCCTCGGCTTGGCATTTGAAAAATGTGGATATTTTTAGCATCGATGTGTTTTTAAAGTGTATTTTTTTAAGAACTTGTTTCTCTTAGATTTCTAATTGCTGTATTTTTGAATGGAACATGTTAATCTTACAAGGCACGTCAGCTTGGTTTTACTGTTACTGTACAACTGTCTGTTTTATGGATGGATGTAGTGGACTGAATGTGTGTGTTTGTGTATGCTTAGCTCTTCAGTGGCACGTTAATTGCGTGAGAGTTCAATACATGTCTACATATTGAACTTTTTTCTTTTTTACAGAAGTGTACAGAAACCTTTAAGTTCACTGCTAATCACTGACATAATGTAATATATTTCACATCTGCTTAGTTGTTCTTTTATTCTGTATAAATGACTCATTTTATACATGTAATATTTTACTGTGTATATAACATGTGAAAACTTGATTGAATACACCTTTAGGTGTGACTTTGTTGTCGTGAAGAGCTGTTCCAACAATTCACCGCCGGCTTAAACTTGAACCATGTGGCAACATTAAAATGATCACTTCCCAGATTCAGCTGATATTTTTTAATGAATTCTGAGTGTCCATGCTTCCATGTTTGTCAAATGTTGACCCTACCATTCAGTTTTCACAGTAGAAATTGAGACTCATCAGACCAGGTACCATCCACTACTCTTTGATTGTGGTGAACTGTAGCCTCAGTTTCTTTTTCATAACTGACAGGACTGGCACCATGTGGGGTTTTCTGCTGCTGGAGCCCATCAGCTTCAAGGTTTGATGTGTTGTTTAGTCAGATCTTGTGCATACTGTGGCTGTAATTATTTAAATTACAGTTAACTAAGTCACTGGATATTTTCTTTTATTCAGACAACTGTATAAACCCTACAGGTGTTTGTGTGGTAAAATCCCAGTATATCAGCAGTTTGAGACCAGGCCGTCTGGTACCAACATCCAGACCATGTTCGAAGTCACTTTAATCACTTTTCTTCTCCCATTCTGATGCTCAGTTTGAACTTCAGGAGGTCATATTGACCATGTCTGCATTTCTAAATGCACTGAGTATTGGCTGGTTAGATATTTGCATTAACAGCAGATGGATTGGTGCAGTTATAAATGGCTTATCTGTCTTACCTTATGAGTAAGAAGTCTATGCTCAAAAACCAACTGGTCATTTGATAAATAAAATCATCCAGTTAAACTGAGTAAATTATTCCCCCCGAGTTAACAATTGTAAACTTCGGTGCCGACATCCATGCCCTGATGTGCGGATGGTGCCATCAACACTTCCCACAACAGATGGAGCTGTGTTCACCTCTGGCGGAGTGAACTTCAGTGTCAGAGGCAGGGCTGAGTCAGCCCGCAGGAATTAGGAAGTGTGTGTTTACGCCTGATTCAACGCTACATACGACAGCGAGCAGGAACAGAAATGTCAGCATCTGCTACACAGCCAGGTAGGTTTGATAAATTGTCTCGCATGTGGTGTTTCGGGGGCAGAAACCATGAAATAAGAAAGGAAAGTTAGGGGCGCGGCTCCTCCACGGTCGGTTTACGGGAAGCAGCAGCTGCAAAGGGCGCAGCCAGCTGAGGTGAAACGCTTCAAAGCTCAATGTAGCAGACGAGCTTACGACACGCACACCCGGCAAACAGGGTGGGCCTTATCTCTGTAAACAACTCGCACGATAAAGAGCAGACAGCTTATACATGGCAGTTATTTTGGGCTATAAGTGAATTTAAAAACTCGGTCCCTTTAAAGTGAGCACACTTCAGTGTATGAAATAAGTGCAGCGTGTCATGAAAACGTTTTTTTCTCAATCTTGTTGAGCAGAGCTGAGGCTGGTGGTGCTGGGCCGGAGTGGGGCAGGGAAGAAGACTGCAATATGCAAAATCCTCGGCCTGCAAGACTACCAGCAGGACACAGATGATGATGCTGTCCAGGAGTGCAGCAAACACAGAGGGGAAGTCGCGGGCAGACAGGTAACAATAACTGACGAGTATGGACTGTGGTCCTTTATAAGTTCACCTGCTTATTTCTGAAGTCTGCATGTCTCTTTTGTGCTTTTGAAACATTATAGCCAGATGTTTACAAAATACAATACCTTACAATATGAGTATAAATATCAATAAAAAAACAAAAACTTTATTATCTATTAATGTGTTAATTTCCTAAATAGTTAACATTAATATCGGAGTACCCCAGGGTTCAATTTTGGGTCCTCTGTTGTTTTATGTTTTTTATTTTTTTTTGGTTAACTTTTTTTTATAATGGTGGTCATTGAGACTCAGTGTCTCATTACATAAGAGGCCTGTTTCAGACAAAATTATTACAATTTAGATTAAATATGATTTAGTTTTAAGTTTAGTCTATAAAGTAATAATTTACCTACATTTAGTCCACCTACTGTAACCTGCCAGATGTATGTTCATAATATGATTATACAACAATCAGGCATAACATTATCACCACCTGCTTAATATTGTGTTGGTCCCCCTTTTGCTGCCAAAATGAGCCCTGACCCATCAAGGCATGGACTCCACTAGACCCCTGAAGGCCTGATCTAGCATCAAAATGTGAAGGGGGGAGGGCTCTATTGATTGTTCTTCTTTGTCCAGCACATCTCACGGATGCTCGATTGGATTGAGATCTGGGGATTTTGAAGCCAAGTCAGCACCTCAAACTCATTGTGCTCCTGAAACCATTCCTGAACCATTTTTTGGTTGGTGGCAGGGTCCATTATCTGGCTGAAAGAGGCCACAGCCATAGTTAATACTGTTTCCATGAAAGGGTGTTCATGTTCTGTAACAATGCTTAGGTAGGTATGTCAAAGTAACCACATGGTTCGCAGGATCCCAGGTTTGCGTGTAAAACATTGGCCAAAGCGTCACACTGCCTCTGCCAGCTCACCTTCTTCCCACAGTGCATCCTGAGCCTAGATGTTCCTAAGTTAAGGGATGCGCACGCAGCCAACCATCCATGTGATGTACAAGAAAATGTGGTTTATCAGACCAGGCTACCTTCGTCCATTGCTCCATGGTCCAGTTCTGGTGCTCATGTGCTCATTGTTGAAGCTTTTGGTGGTGGGCAGGAGTCAGGACCCACTAAAAACTGCCACGATCAAGGGATAATCAGCGTTACTCACTTCACCTGACAGTGGTTAAAATGTTATGCCTGATTGGTTTACAGCTACATGCTAAAATCAAGTAGCAGGTTGCTGAAGAACTGTCAGCTACAGTGGTGAAGACGACAAACTGACCATCAAATTCATGTTTGTCTTAATGTTTGCCATAAACCTGCCATTGACTGCAGATGAAAATTAGTCTGTGTGGCATATTTACATGAAGGATTTAAGGGCTTGTGTTAATATTTTAAACATATATGTTTAAAAACATATAAACATGATAAATATTAAGGATCCATTTCTGGTTGTTTTGGCGACACCTGTGGTTACAATGGTTAATAACAGAAACATGTTTGTGTGAAAGAAAATGTAACTCCTAATAAATTCTCTCTCTCTCTTCTTGATAACGTGCTGCTGCTTAATCGTGCAGATGATAGATGCGGTCTGAATTTTGTCCAGTGGCATTTCCTGTAAACACCTTGCATGTCGACATCACTGAATCCTCTCATCTGAAATGCAATCTGATGTACTCAGACGCAACAATGAGCATGAATGCATTTAAAAGCCAGTTTGCAGTATTCATTTGAGTTTCATACCTGATAGGAAAAAAGAAATGTGTGCTTAACCAACCAGGCACATTTAAATGATTAAGAAAACCCACAAAATTAAGCATGACTGGGTTTCAAAATTTTGCAAAAAAACCAATAAGCAACTGTGAAACTCTCGGGGCGTATCTGCTCAAGGCTTTGGTTTACAGCGCTCGCACCAGCCAAAAGAAACTGAGCCAACAGACCTGGGTTTGTTTTAACACGTTAGTTGTAAAATCATAGCCTTGTTATATGCACTCTATGGTGTGAAATCTTGATGCACACCGATACTAAATATATTCATCACTTTGCAGCTGTTGCTCTCATGTGGTCAACTATATATATAAAAAACAAACAAATGTGGTTAAAAGGCTCAGTAATTCTACCATTAGCCTTCACACCAAAGCAAAAACAAACACCTGAATCTGCTGGGTGGTCAATGCAGTTAAATTTGTTTTACAGCCTCCAAGGAAGGCAAAGTGGACGATACTACTGTGAAAGGCTTGCCTAGTGTAATTCTAATATAAGCAAACAAGGCAAGATACATTTATTAGTGTGAAGGAACTGCTGACAATGGACAAGGACAAGAGGATGAAGGGGAGGGAGATTAAGATGTTATATACACAGGCTGTAAATAAAAGATGGATGTAGCCACTGTGGTTGTGACCCACATTTTTTAATCTTAATTTTTTAACATTAGGGTTTGGCTTCCACCAATGTTTTTTTTTTTTCCGAGTCAGAAGTGCCCGTATTAGGTCAAGATTGTGAATTTCTGTATCATAAGCTAATGCTAACAAGCTTGCTTGCCAACCTGCATCTGTAAACTGTATGAACAGAGATACTGGCTAATGCCTTGTAATAAACTAATAAAATACTCAAGTTTTACTAACCAAAACTGGAGTGCACACTTCTCGGACGGGCTGTGCCACACAGAAAGCTTTGTTATTTGTCAGATAAGCTATTAAAAACAGGCCAAAGGGCCACAAGCAAGAACTCAACTGACTAGCCTTAAAAAATTCAAATAGGTGGTTTATACAAACATACAATTGTTTTAAGGATGTGAATAAATGTTTGAGACCAAAACTGTTTTAGCTGTAAATGTGTTATTTTCATTTCTGAGTCGAGTATTTTAACAGCAGAGGATCGACTCGCTTTTGGAGCCAGCCTCAAGTAGTAATTCGAATTAGTTGTGTTTGAGCCCTGAGATTTGTTCCTTGGTTCCATAGCTTTCACTGGTAACAGATTGATCCATAAATCTGTGTTAAACTGGCTTCTGCAATTCAAATTCTGACATCCAAGAACGATTTACAAGTCAAAGGTAGCTAGCAAACTGCAGGTTGTAGTAACTTTCAGTGGATCAGCAGAACCACTGATGCTAACATGTAGTGGATTCTGTAAGGGTATTCTGTATTAGGGTTTGCTATAGAGTTAGTGTATTATTAAGACAAGAGTAAGTCCTAAACACACTTATAAATAAAGATGCAAAGGTATCTCAACAGTGCATTCCAATGTAGTTCAGTCTTTTCATATTTTTTCAGTGCTTTTGTTTCCAACATGAAAAATGTGTTCAGTAAATCTCTGAATTTACTGACTTTAATCCTTATAAAAGTGTAAATATCCATGAAATTTGTGAAGAAATTTTGGAATTGCCATGCACACACAGACTGAACTTCATTCACGTAGTGAGTTCAGTTTAAGAATACCAAAGTAAAAAAAAAAATCTTTGTAAATAACAGACATTTTTTTAAAACAGGTGCATTGTAATCAATTGTAATTGCTTTTTCTTTATGCTTCTGTCACGTCTCTGCAGGTGGTGATAGTCTCTAGTCCAGCCTGGTACGGTTCAGGTTGTAACTCAGAGGAAAGAAGAAATTACATTTCCTCCTTCATTGCCTCATCCAGCCCTGGACCACACGCCTTTCTGCTCTGTGTCCCAGCAAACCAGCCGGCTGATGAAGAGGCCAAGGCACTGGATGTCCTGAAGAAGCTCTTTGGTTCCTCTGCTGTAAGCAGAAATACCATCATACTCTTCACCCACACAGATGTGCTGGATGAGGACGAGCAGCTGGAAGAATACCTCGTCACATGGCGAAAGGACCTAATGGAGCTGGTGGAGAGATGTGGAGAGCGCTACCACACCCTGGAAGCCCGCAGTGGAGAACAAGATGGAAGGACAGCGGTGGAGGAGCTGCTGGAGAAAGTCGAGCAGGCAGTTATGAAGAGTGGGGGTTTACACTTTAGCTGCCCTCTGTACCAGGAGGCTGAGGAAAGGGTGAGAGAGAGGCAGGCAGAGATAGTGAGACAGAGAAGAGAGGAGCTGAATGACCAGGTGTCTCCCACAGACTCCCAACTGGAGAATGAGGAAGAATTGGAAGAGGTCCGGGAAGAAGCAGAGAGGAGCATAGGTGACCTGAATGTGGATGTAGATAGCATTTTTCCCTCTACTGATGTTTCACCTTCCACCTCTGCTCCGTCTTTCCTCGGGGGCTTGTGGGAAAAGCTGACAGGGTGGATTAGGTGGCTGTCCTCTCTGGTGAGAAGGGAGTCGCTGCTGGGGTCACTGGTCGGCCTGTTCGTGGGAGGGACGTATGGAGGTATGGTTGGGGCCACTGTGGGGTCTGTGGCTACTGAAGTGGGGCGAAGAAAAACAGAGAAAACTAAATGAGAAGCAATCTCATGTTTAAGTTGCACCTTAAAGCCACTCTACTGTGTTCCACAAACCACTGTATTACTGGGCTGTGGGCTTACCCACTAACACAAAATAGCATGTTTCCCTGATTACAAATAATGCTTTATAGATCAGTTTTAACTCGTAAATAAGGACAATTTAGGGTTTGCTGGATTTGAAAAATCTTTTGGCTGGTATGTTCTCAAATGTAACTGCCGCTGTCTTTTTTGCTAGCTTAGTATTCAATATTGTCGGCATGACTCAGATCTTTGCCTCTTTCTGTACTTCAAGTACATGAAGACGCCATCTCGTCTGTAAACAAACCACTGAGTGGTAGCGAAAACTTGTCTTCCATGCAAACTGTGGGAGACTGCAGCAGTTTGCTGTAACCAAAGTAATCAGAGGTTTTCAGTGGAGCACTGGACACACCTTATTTCAACTAGTGATGGCACGCAACCTTCTGCAGCCACTTGCCAATTGATCAGGGAATGCACATTTTTTCCTAAAGACCGTTAGTTATCAGCTGGTTGTGGAGGCCTCTGTGACTGGGACCTAACAGAGCATCTGAGATGTCCTGATGAATGCAGCTTTCTAACCAAGCTTGCTAGCAGTGTTCTTTTTTTTTCACGTTGGCAAATAGTTGGTTCTTGACACAGTGAAAAGACACATAATAAAATTTATTTGGGGGGTGGCTGGTTCTGTCCAACTTGCCTTTCCTTTTAGCTCTATTTTTCATCTCCATCAGCTTCTGAGGAAAATATCAAACTTTTAAGCTGCTGTGTTCACAAGCTAGTTTCTGACTTTGCTGTGTTTGTTTGTGTTTTCCCCTCCCTTTTCCCTCCCTTCCTCTGTCAATGAAAAAAGTCAGCGAAAACGTAAAAATCAACAAGCTTAAAAGAGTTGACATAGAGTGCAGAGCTAGCGCTACACTAGCTCGTCAAACTAACTGCATCTAAATCCATTACTGTGAAAATTTTGAATATCCTTTTAACTTTCCTATAAAAAGGATATCATACAACAGCCAAATCGATTATTCATAACCTTGCAAGCAGCTCGTCCTTATGAGTGGACTATTACTGATCTCTAAAGAAATTATTTATCATTAAGTAACAACTCCTGAACCTGTTTTATGCTTTTCAGAGAGGGCACAGGGAAGGCTTGAAACACTTTTGTTAGGAGGCAATACCAAGAAGAATCCACAAGGTGGTGACATTGACCTTTATATAGAAGTTTGAAGTTTTCTGAGGTGAACTGAAAGATAATCATTTACTGCCTACCAAGCAAATAAAAGCTGCTGTTTTAAGTACACTCCAGTGTGATTTTTTTAAATCTGAAGTGATTGTTCTTCACAGAGATGAGCTGTGGTTACTTGTAGTATGTATGTGTTCTCTTGAGATGCTTTTCTACAATGGCTTCTACCATACTGCAGATTAAAATGAATGGATATAGATAGCTGTGGTGCGAGGAACAAAAGCCCAGGGTTCACGCTGGAGCAGATGAGTCCCTCAGACTCTCTCAGCAGCACACAATGGCTTTGACACGGCAGTAATTGACACTCTTGCTTAAACCGTCCGTCATGGCCCGTCCTTACATCTCTCTTGTTCGCTGTTGCCTCTTGGTCTCTCTAAGCTGCCGGCGGCTCTGCCTCAGGAGCAGCTAGGCGTTTCCGAATGTGGGTGGTCCGGCCAGGGTGGGAGGGAGAGAGCAAGGCAGGGAGAAAAAGGGAGAGAGAGAGAGAGAGAGAATTAGCCCGGCTCTCATGTTTCCCAAAAAGAGAGGAGAGGGAGGGAAGGACAGGAGAAAGAGAGAGTGAGTGAGAAGCAGTGAGAGAGAGAGCAAGAGTCAAAGGGAGAGAACAAGCTCTGGGACTACATCTGTCTTCCAGATGTGGCCTCCTCTTGTCTGAAACGGGGAGGAAAAAAAGGTTTTAAAAGTACAGGAAAATTAGTGCTAAACAGTTTTTTATTGTTAGGGATTACACATACAGTACAGACTACAGCATACAGCACCAACTTCAGAACCCACTCACCAGGATATGCTTCTTTTCCCCCCTGCTTTATGAAACTGCACGCTAGACTCCTTCAAGTTAATGTATATGAAAGAACACCTGTCCAAATATTATTCAGTCTTAGTGGATACACACCACGGATAAGGCAGAGAGCGCGGAGATGGAGTTGGAAGTCTGGAGAAAAATTAATGAGAATTTTTTGGGAGTGTAATTATTATTATTATTATTTTTTTCCAGAAGGATGTGGCGTACATAAGTATCTCAGTTCAGTAGCACTAATCAAGACCAGTTCCGTAGCTTGTGACGGCGGCCAGTATTAACTCTGGAGGATGAGACCTCACTGGGACAGAGAGGGGAGCTGATTTGTGCCTGTATGAAAAAAGCAAAAAGCCCCCAAAAAACAAGCAAAACATGTGAGGGGAATCAGCAGCGAGCCGTCATTAACTCACAGGCGGTAACTTCTCTGCTCCTCTCCCTCACGGCAAAAATGTTGCTGCGAGGGCCCTGCGGTCCCCCGTCGGATCCAGTCTGGTGGTGGTAATGGTGGTGGTGGTGGTGGGGGAGGGCAGTCCGCTGTGAAGACACGGACGCCCGCAATATTTTTTTGTTATCATCGCGCCCCATGGCCTGGAAAAAGACAGCAAACCAAAGGAAAATAAACAAGATGACACACTCTTTCCCCTCACAGCACAAGGCCGTCCTCCTTCTTCTTCTTTTTTTACAGGAACAGCGCACGACCATTATGGCAAGTGGTTAAACATGTTTAAAATTTTATTTAGTTTTTTTTTATTTACAAATAAATATGACTGTTTGCCAGATTGTAACTGGAAGAATTTGTGGGTAAATCAAACATTCTAAATATATTTGACAAAAAAGCAAAAATAATTTAAGGTAATTTAGCTCTAATAGCTGGAAAGAAATAAAGTAGTACAGCAAAATTATAATAATATAATGTTCGGGTAAAATAATCACACGAGTTCACAGAGGCTGTAAATCAGCTGAGTGCTTTTTAACCCACCAATCTTTTTCCTTTTTTTTTTTTAAACAGTGTGACCTCAGGAACTATCTTTCTATCTGAGGGCTGTTTTTGTGTGCCGGCATGCAGGGCTGAGGCAGCGAGCGGTGTCCGACTGCCGGCTCGCTCTCCTCCTTCTCTCTGGGTGTGCTCGCTGTGAGCCCTCTCATCTTTTTCCCATTAGTGCTGTTTTCATGTTCCTTCCTAGCGTGAGCATGTGTGGCTGCGATTGTTTACCAAGCAGTGCTCGCCCCGTCCGACTGTGCGTCTGTGTCTGTGTGTGTCCAGTGGGGAGTATTCGACAGCGGGTCCAGACTATGATAGGAAATAATCATTAAACAAAGAAGAAGAAGAAGAAAAAGTTATGTGATGCTTCATTTAATTATTTCTACGTTTTAAAATGTAATTACTGCAGTGTTAGAAATTAATTTTAAAGTGTTTAAATATGAAATGTAAAATTTTAAACAGTGAGTCCAGACTTTTTATTTTTCTTATGTTAGCTTTAAAATTCACCAAATGTGTTTTTTGACTGATTTCTAACATTTTACATATTTTCCAAACGCTTCTTTTTTTAAAATCATTTAGTCACATTTGTATTTAAACCATTTAAGCAGTGATTTATTACTTTTTACTAACTCTTACAAACTTAGTATTTTGTAGGTAGTTACAGTGAGCCGTCTGACACTATACTCATCAGCTATGCAATCTATTATCAAAGTCTTCCCACTCGGCCCTGCCTGTGGGCACATATTTGGGGAGCTATTTTGGAGTATTACCTAAATTAATTCAAATTTAAATGGTCAGAGCAGACTTAAAACATTTCATGTGATCATTCAGCTATCAAAGGTGCCTAAAGTGGTTGATCATTGTCTCTCAAAAATAAGGTTTAAAAAGGATTTCTCAAAGTTTTTTAAACTCTCTGAGTACCATGTCTCTCTCTGCCATTACAGACTGCTCTACTAACTGCAGTACATGAATATAGGCATTACTGAAAATCTCAAATATGGCTTATAAACATTTTTTTAAACTAGTTGAAATTTTATATCCAATAGCTACGGGATAATTTTTCCCACCAATTATTTTTTGAAATGCATGAATTAAGGCTGTGCACTTAAATATGAGAGAACCTTCATGAATGTCAATTAGTAACACTTCATACCAAAACTGCTTTAAAACCAAAAAAGAAGAAGAAATTAAAATGGCAGAAATAACATGGAAGACAAAGATGAGCTATTAAAAAAAGAGCATGGATGTCCTTTCTCCTAAATTTGAAACACTGCTGAAAATAGAAAAGCATCTGTGCACTATTTCCCAGATGAAGTGGAAACTCAGAAATAGAGGCAGTGCAGCTGACACGAAGCAGCTCCCATCCATGATCTGACCATAAAGGGCCTCCAGCGCACAGAACAAGGTGTCAGCACAGACAGGAAGAAGAAGCAGAAGAAGAAGGAAAGGGAAAAAAAACAAGAAAGAAGCCCCCCAGATGATATGAATACAAAATCACACACAGCTGCTGAGGTTAGGGCTCTGATGGACACACACACACGCATGAATGCACACCGAAGCTTCTGCACGTGTACGAGCAGCTGACTCGAGCGGGAGGACAGCTCGGCGAATCGGCCGGAACGAGAGCCACCCCTCGTCCCCTCCAGCCTGACCCGAGCCTCTTCGCCCACACCCCCCTCCAGATGTGACAGAGGAAGATGTCCTGTGCGGACAGCGACTGGAGACGGGAGAAAGAGGAAAAGGGCTGAGACTCGGATGTGCGGTCTGGTTCAGGTTTGTACGCCCCGCCGGCATCCGTCTGTTAAAAGAGAACTTCCCAATATGGTCGCCACATTTGAGTCATTTATTTTCACTCGTACAACCTTAACATACGTTCTGACACTTGGATGCCAAAAAGGCACTGGGGCTTAACTAATACCCCGTGGCAACATGTCAGAATCGGATGACGATAAATGAGTTCCAGTTTGACTCAGTTCGCTTGCCAAGGGACAGATAAACAGCTAGTAGGAGGGTAAGGTCACGGGCTCGTGTGTCTTACAGGCGTGCGGATAAGCCTACTGTTGGGACACTTCAAAGGGAATCTATGGCATGACGGGAATGGTGCAAAAAGGATGACAATCAGAATGAGAAAAGGGGTGAAGTGAGCTATTAAAGCGCACTGCAGGAGGCCACGTTTGCAGGAGGATGAGCTTTAGGGAGCGAAACATCGCGGGATGAAAGAAGCAGAAAAGCCTGAGCTCTGCTGGTGTGACAGCTCTGAGGAGTTAGCGGCCTCACGCTGCACCTATTGCAGCAGATGGGCTTTGAGGATTGCAGGAGGGGTTGGAGGGGGGCTTCAGTCAGAGAAGAAGACAACTCACTACGCGGAGCTGCGGTGCGGGTGTTAGATGGCCCCTGAGCGTCACCATAATTGATGGATAGTGTGGTCCACATTAAGTGACATGCGCCGTTGGCTGTAAGTGGGTGCGATGATTGGGGGTCTTTTTGAAGCTGGGGCCGCGGGCTGTGTTTGAACCGTCAACAGAGACCCCTATTCTCTGTAAAGGACACCAGCCTGTGGTTTGGTCGCAGCCTCGGCACAGGCCAAGCACACTCACACACACACACACACACACACACACATTATCCTTCAGTAGTATTATTGGGTTCTGGGGGAGGTGACTGTATTATTCCTGCTGCAACACTGACTTAATTCAAGGCAGATCTGACCCCGGCTCGTTCTCCTCCACTTCTGCTCTATTGGATCAAGTCTTAATCCTGCCTCCACCACATGAATGGGAGACGCAAAGAGGAGCTGCTCTCGCTCCTGCCACGTACATCAAATGTCACTCAGGTCCATATGCTGTCATGCAGCTTATGATGGGTATCGGCATGTCATATGAAAGCTAGAGGAGCTTAATGGAGGCCTAGAAAGACCAGAGCTGGAGACAGATACTCTGGGAGATTGGAGCCACAGCTCGCATTGATACAATGCGTCGTCCAAACCTGGATTTGATCTTCTGTGGCCTCGGTTGGATTTTTTGTAGGTTTTTTGTTGTTTTTTTTTGCAGATGCATACAAGCCTGACACATCCTCCGCCAGGAAAAAGCCAGGGGAGCTGGCCCGTGATACCACTTCAGAGTCGAGGCGCACAAAACAATCTCTAAATAGGAGCGTCTCAGGAGGCACTTTACAGTAAGCTATGACTAACAAACCTAAAGCACCTCAAAACAACGCTGGGAAAGATCCAGCTTCCGTCGAGGCAACACGAGCTCCCGCTTCTCAGCCAAACACATAATAACTCCTGCTCAAGGGCCCGTTTATTGTCATATCTTTTCAAAGTGACGCCAAACCCAAAACACACTCCACTCACACACGGCCTTGAGCTAACAAGGGATGTAGGCGAGGCTTTTTAGGGCTTTTCCAGCGACTGAGCTCACCAGACAGCCGATTGCGGGGGTCGACGGGTTTTTTGGTGCGTGTAGCGGTCCAGCTCTCACGCAGGGGAGACGCAGAGGCCCTCAGGGCGGTGGGCGCCCCCGGAGCAGACGTGCCCTTCAATCTCCATCTGAAATGAGAGACAGGCCATTGGTGCGCAGGGATGGGCCTCTGATTTGTTCTGTGGTCCCTTTGAAACCATGCATCCTGCAGAAGAGAGGAGGGAGAGAAACAGGGAGTAAACATGACAGGCAGGATGAAGGGAAAAGTAAGATTAAGATGTGCAGCTGCAGTGGCTTTACTTCAGCCCAGAGAGGGCAGTGGAATCAATGTGGAAATGATAAGACAGCGAGGAAAAAACTGGGGATACCCCGCACGCACTAACTTTGGTTCTGTGTCTTTTCAACACAAAAAAGTAACATGATCTGTCAAAGGGAAAGAATACGAGCGGCTATTTTAAAATCAAGGATTTCAACGTCAAATAACAAATCGATCGTGTTTCTGAACGCTACAAAGGAACTAATTCGATGTCAGATGAACAGTGATCAAAGAAAATGCAGAGTCCCTCCCGTACCATACACATATACAAATGTGTTTTAGTTTGTGCATGGTTTGTGCTCAGTCATAGATCGACGTGGTGTGGTGGGGGGGCAAATCGTGAGAGAAACAGACAGATTGTGGTGGCTTTGATGTGCGCTCAGAGCTCAGTCAACAGAATACATGCTAGGTGGAAAGAACAAAAAAAAGCAGTATCATAGGACAACTGTCTCTCTGCAAACCACTACAGTGGGACGAGTGCGCGTGTGTCTTTCTGGCCTGCGCACACTCAGTCATGTGCGCAGGCTATCAAGTTGTCGATCAAGAGGAGCGATGAAGCAGAGAGAAACGTTTTCTCTCACATCCTCAAGGAGGGCAGACGACTGACACACACTTAAAGGGAAACAAAACAGCCCCCACCACATCTAAATCCTGTTGTATTCTCTTCTCCTCAGAGGAAACTCGTGTGATCAGATCTCCGCCACCAATATGTTCCCCATATGTCTAAATCCAGCCGCCATTTCTTCCCCCTTTTTTTCAAGAAATTTGGTTTTCGGGGTTTATGTGTGTTTATCTGCACTGTGCATCGTTCGTATTAAGGGGGTCTTTGTCTGTCCTTGTGTGAAAGCTGACAGCTCGTCACTTAGCACTGAATTGATGCGTTGCTTTCACATAAGCACGCACGCACAAAGACACACAGCAGTGTTAGAAAAACAGGCATAAATCTCTAGTTCAGAGCCCGTGTTACCCCCTTTTTTTTTCAGCAGAAAAACCTGAGTGCTCCTTTCCGACTGCAAGCTACCTTACTCTAATGGGCTCATTTAGACAAATTTATTTTGCCCCATTTCACTCTGTTATATATATTGTTAAATAGACTGGCATTTATGTAGAGCTCTTCTGCTATTTTTGGGCTTTCAAAATGTTTTTACACTACAAACCAAATTCATTCAAATTCAGTCATATTTTCATGCAATTCAAATGTAGTAAATGTTTCAAATGTATCGACTCTCTAAATATTTTAATCAATATCTATTATATACTTTGTATTTTTTCCAAATTAGTTGAGATACTCAGAATGTGTAGAAAAGACAGATGAAAGTGAAGCTAATGTGGAAGTCTCTTAAACCTGCATTGTTGCTAGTGGTCAGTAGGGGGCGACTCCTCTGGTGGCAGATTGTGTAGAAAACTATTAGAAAATTAAATTTTCACCTTATTTATGGTCCTTCTAAATTAATTTGTAGTCTTAAGCAATAATTACAAGTTTCAGTGACTATGAGATGAATTTTATTTTATAAATTATGGTTCCATTCAGAGTAAAATAAATAATAAAACAGAGGATTCTTTAAGTTTTGGCTACTTTTTGATTGACAGCTCACTTCAGTATGAGGGATTGTTTCTTTACTTTTTCTCAGGCAGATCCACCCCCTGAAAAAAAATGAAATGAAATAAGATAGTCACAGACAAACTGCTCATCTCGAGTCCACAAACACACAGGTGGCGTCACCTTTCATATACAGTTCATGGACCTCACTTAACTACCTTCTTGTGGGACAGCGCCAGTGCCCTTGGGTGGGAATCTCTGGCATAGGCCCGGATTTGACTTGTGGCTTAGCAGTGCAAACAGATCGTGCCGATATGAAGCCCATCGAGCAAAGTCAGTGTTTTTTCAATCTAAATTCCAAGATTACTTCACTTTTAAGCACAATGCCAGACCCCAGTCACAGCCAACATCTGAATACACCATCACTCACTGAAATATTACAGACATCAGAAACTCACTCGCAGCATGGATTTAACAAAAAAAAGGGATTGTAATCACACGGCCCATCTCATAATTAACGGATGCTATGACTCAACTTGGTCACAGCATGGTAATTACCTCAGGAGGCTGTCATATTTATTTAACTAGGAAGCTAAGACTGCTGAAGTCCAGCCATGTCATATGTTAGATCGTGTCAGATTGAAACCATGACACATTAAGCTGATTTCCCCCCCTCCTTCCTCTCGCTCTGTTGCACCAGGGTGGTCCTCACTCTGGCTCCGGCCTCGTTAGTGTGTGTGTGTGGTGTGTTTTCAAGACTGTCACAACAACATGACCCCCAGAACATTTCAAACATACACACACTAATTCTGCTCAGACACGGGCATCTTGCGTTTCCAAATCTGCACACATGCACGCACACACCACAAAACCTCTGTCCTGGCTGCAGGGATAGAAACAACAATGCTGCCTTTGACACTGACCCTAACCTCCAGTCCATCCCTCCACCCCCCCAAAGCCCTCATCGCCCTCCCACGTCCCCCAGGCCTAGCGCTGGCCACAGGGCCGAGAATGCGATTCAGGTGCAGGACTCTGCTGTTTCCAATTAGTGGGGTATAAATTAGAATCACTCTCCCCTGTCCTCTATCCAAACATTGCTGTCTCTTCATCCTTGTCGACCCTACACACTTAACTCTGCCTCTGACCTCCCGCCTGTATCACTCTGAGACATAAATTCACTTCCTTTATGGCTCTTGTCGGCAACCTCTGGACTCCTCTAACTCATGCTCAACGCTGTTAATGTGCAGTGCATTTGGTATAAAACCCTCCATTTTCAGTCAATGAGAGTATAAATCCCGAGCCATATATCTGACTTTGAAAGGAATATAACTTCTGGTTTTACTGTACTGTCTGGTTACTGTAACTGAGATATTTCACAGAAGACAAGGACATGCCCTGACATATGCACTCCACATTGCAGCAAGGCACGCTCTGATAAGGTTACAGAGAGATTCAGTTAACTTGTGAGAGGAAATGTAGACTTATTCCTCAACTTATTAGACAGTGTGTTTGCGAGCTTTTTCCTCCACAGGTCAGTCTGTTAAACTGAGTGTTATTATTCCAGGGCAGAGAGATCAGCTGCAGTGTAGCCAAGTAGGACCTGAGGTCACTCTGGTACTGAGAGTTCACATCTGTTCAAATAAATCCTCCACTGTGCCATCAGCAGTAAAAACACACACATGCAAGCTCCAGCAGAATGTAACTAAGCACATTTAGAAGAAGAAATCTTAGGCATACAAGCACATTTTGGTTAATATATTTGTTCACATATTTGCTTGGTGGCTTTGGACAGTGGAAATGTGATTTTATGCTACGCTACTTGTTGTCCACAACAGCGTGTAATTGAGAAGTTTAGTAAAACTTATTCTGAACAATCTTTCAGTCCCACAAAAATATTTTTTGGACTATATAGTTTAAAACATATGCATAATGCTGATTTATATGATCAGCAGAACACAAGAAAACAGGTCAGCAAGTCAACAGGGAATACACTGTTAGCTAAGAGTAACCTAATGGATAAACGGTAATAGCTAGCTAAAAATTAAGAGAGGATGAGAGAAAATGTTATATATTGCAAAAGCATGAAATTAATAAAACTTCAGAATATAAAACTTAAGAGACTGATAACAAGTAAACAGGGGAACTGCTGAAAGTGTTCAGCTAAGCTAAGTTAAAACTGTTAGCTATGAGCAATAGCTAAATAGCTGACATTAGCACATAAAAAGGTACCGGTAATGGCTAAAAGTAACAGATAAACTACTGAAACAGCTAATATTACTGGATTTTGGTGTAAATGTGAACAATTAATAAAAGAGCTGAAAGAAAAACAGGATAGGTAAATGAGCAGTAAATAAAACAGTAACATACCAATTATTATACCAAATACTGCATTAGTACTCATAATCCAATAGGACAGTGTGTCTATCACTTATAACAATTCATCATAAGGTTGATACTTTAACCATTTCTTGCTAATAATACTAAATAAAAAATATATTTTTCTATCCAGAACTGTCACAAGTAACAAATCCCAGCACTGCATACACGTGGAATACACACGCTAACACTTTGGCACACGCTTTCTCTCAAAGTACACGACACCAAGAAAAAATAAAGAAAAATAACAAGCAAGCACCATCATTCACTTTTTTTTTTACATTCCTGACTTTGGCACCTGTCATGTGTGTGGTTTTTATTTTTTATTTTTACAAGCTCAGGCTGCTGTTACAGAGAACACAGCACGCAGGAGCGAGGAAAATTTACAGAGCGTGTCCTCTCCGGGCCGTGCAGTGTTCACGGGGATCAAATGCTCCCAAGGTGTGGAGTGTGTGTGTGTCTATATAACTCTACATTTCTCTCCACTGCCACTATACCAGCACCAGAGCTGCTGCCCCCGCCTTTTACAGAGCCCAGGACCTCAGTGTGCCCTCTGAGTTTTCTCTTTATGAGCTCTAGTTCATCCTTCGACTTGCAGAGAAAACAAGAGCTGCACAGGCTTTTATAGGACTCCTGGGGAATACACAAAGAAAAAAAAAATAAGAGAGCAAAGTTTTTAGCAGGCAGTTAGAGGCTTCTGCACTGTGAAGGATGACTGATAGAAGAGGCTGAAGTGTTGGGTGAAGGATTAAACACAATGTTACCCCCATTTACCGCAGCCTCTGACCTTCAGCTGCCCAGATGATGATAGAAAAATGCTCCAAAGAGACAAAAGCGAACCAGATGAAGATGAAGCGAAATAAAAGGCAGCCACAAGAAGGGTGTGAACTTTCCCCCACCAACACGAGCTCACTTTTGTGGGCTCCCTCCTCCACGGGGAGTACCCAAGATAAACAAGCCTGTTCCTCTAACA